ATCCTGTCACTGCTATTCAGCATAAATAAGGCTTGAAGAATGTCTCCTAGTAAAGCAATGCAATCTTCTGCTTGCTATAAATCAATGATTCTTAAACTTTTTTGAGTCATGGACCCCTGTGAGACTTTGATGAAAGCTATGGACCCTCCTTCCCCTCGCCTCAATGCACATAAAACACATAACACACAAAATTTTGCCAACAATTTATTGTTATTATTGCACTGGGGAAAATATATGTCCATCCATGGACTTTGTAGGAGTCTGTGGACCACAGGTTAAGAACCCTTGTTATAAATCAATATTTTTTATGACAAATATTGTCTTGCGATCTTTTGATGAAGAGGAGTATAAATATATAACAAAAACAACAACAACTGTTGTAATCTGTCTGTTTTGAGAAACAATGGAGTGCACCTCCAAGGGAGAAGTCAAAACCCTGTATTGCAGCACCTAAGTGACCTCCCTGGGGCACAAGCCTGGGCAGTGTGTAGGGAGGTCCTGGCTGCCCAGATGACAAGACCGCTCCTCTCAGCCTTGCTGATGTGGTCCAAAGGAAAGCAGAGCAATACATTTGGCACCAGCTTGCCTGCAGAAGTTGCCAGAAAGAGGCATACAAGGCACCATCCAACCCTCTTAGGGATTCCACACACGTTTTGTGTAGGGTTTACTCCTCAGCCTTTTCTTCTTCCGAAGATATCCCTCAAGGCAGTGGAGGTTTAGGATTGGAGTTTTCCTTCTCTGAGATGGGCTACCTTCCCAGGTTGATGAGCCCCATATGGCCCTCACTTCCCTCTACAGCATGTGCAGAAACCAACTTCTTGACCATTGGACCCACTATTGGTTTCATCTACTCAATTCGCTACAGCCTGTCTTGTCATGCGGGGGTGGTCCCTAGCTCACTGAGGATTTGGGACCCATTGGCTACCCTCACCTAGTTTAGCTGACCAGTCAAAGCCATTTCCTGGGGTATGGCTGCTGTCACATGCTGGCAGCTTCTAGGAGTCACAGGGAAGAGCTGAGTATATAATAACTCTCTGTTTCTTATTTCTGAAGCATCTGTTCCCAGCCCATTCATGGAAACTGGTGCTATTTATAATAGCTTAATTATGGCAGTAAAACATAATTCCATGGGCTTCGGGGTGAATAAAAGATCTCAAAGTAGCACTTCAGAATATCACATTTTGTGACACATTATTTTTTTATTTACATCTCACCTTTCTGCAAGATGGTACCCAAGGAAGCATTTTATTGATTTGGGTGTGCATGCTAATGCAAAGACTTTTGTGTTACTGCATACATTGACAGGCCAATGGCAAATGTCAGAGCAATGTCACATAGCATGATGTGATGTTGGCATTGCTATGGCATTAGGCTAAAGTCACTGGCAGACACATTGGCACAAATATTTCAGATTAGATTGTCAGGGACGAACATATTACCCAGTAATAACTTGTTTGCAAATTGTAGTGACAACCTATTTTAAAGTACTACTTTGACTAGGGCTGTAAAATTAGGCAATGGAAAAAACTTCACTGTAACAGGCATAACGTAGTTTTGGTCTATGAGATAAATAGCTGAGATAACCCCAGAGTCCACATTCTACCCACTCCAATAGCTGGGGGTGGGGGGGTGGGGAAGGTTCATGGAAATATTAGTCTTCTGCCCACTGGCATTAATATGGGTGTTGTTGTTTTCTTCTTAAGTATGGTCAATATCTCTAATCCAGGGATCCCCTGGGTAATTATGCATTGAAACCATCATGCTTTCAGTTGAACTTCTGAGGCTCCTTCTTCAGAGAGCATCCTCCTTCCATTAGCAGACAAGCTGCTTCCCAAACTCAGGGGAACTTCATGGGTGGTCTTCAATGCAACAAGAAGAGTAGTGGTGTGACAGAAAAAGAAAGAAAAGAAAATGAGAAACCAAAACAGGGAAAGGATGCTTTGAAAGTGCCTCTATGTGCAAGACATCCTTGGGTCCCTAACTATGGAAGGCTGATGACCATACCTCACTTTATTTGGAAAGTTCACTTATGATCTCTCCCACTCAATAAATTCTATCAATGGGGACTTAACTTTGGGTTTATTTGTGTTCTTAATGGTAAGAAAAAGCAAAAAATGGAAGGCGTGTTAGTGATCAAGTTACTGTGTTTAAAACTAGCCACTGTTGTTAAACTCTTTTAATCCATTTAGCAAATATTTAGTTTTGAAGATTGGATGCTGTCCTCGTTTCATTCTGGCAACCAGGCTCCTCTTTGTAAGGCAGAAGACACAAATGAAACCAATATCTTTCAACAGAGATCAGGGGTTTATGCACCCTGTTTATTAACTAGAAGATGGCAAAATCTTGGTAGGAAGTAATGTGAATGTATAATTAACAGCATGATCTGACCTCTTTAACTTTGAATGAGGCTTCCCCAATTAAATTTTCCTGGCCCTCGTTTTAAATAGCTATTCACAGCTGTGGACATTTGATTTATTCCCTGATGAGAGGCAGGGATGCTGACCACCACTAGAAAACAACCGTTTTTAATTTAGATGTCTGCTAGATTCTAACCATTGCATCTTTTTAATCATATGTTTTAGTGATCATTTTTCTTTGCCTTTGCATTATTAAAAAAGTCTATTAAAGGATTGCGAGAGAGACTATCTGCGCATGGGAACAATATTTCACATTTGTTTATATTGTTTCAGACAAGGCATAAAATTTTCATGGGGACCAGAGGAACTGTTGGGTGCCCAACTCCCATATACCCTCAGCTGGAAGTAGGAAGCCTAAGGGCACATCTGCGCCTTCTGCTGTGGCTGCTTCATCCCAGCAGGGATCGGGAGACAGTGTGGTGCATGAGAAATTGTAGCAGCGGGAACGTTAGGAGTGCAGCACACAGGCGTTACAGTGGTATCTTGGTTTAAGAACAGCTTCGTTTATGAACAACTTGGATTAAGAACGCTGCAAACCCAGAAGTAGGTGTTTTGGTTTGTGAACTTTGCCTTGGAATAAGAGCATGTTTTGCTTCCTGTTGAGTGTGTTCCATTTGTAAATTGAGTCCCCCACTGCTATGGGAAAGCACACCTTGGTTTAAGAACGCTTTGGTTTAAGAAAGGACTTCCGGAATGGATTAAGTTCATAAACCAAGGTACCACTGTATTCCTATACTTCTGCAAGGTTTACATTGATAATGCATGTACTTCTGTTGCTTTTATCTGCATTGCTAACAAAGTGGCCAATGATGGCACTAATGCAGATTTAGGAATGGACTCAGTATAGTATGGGCTGGTATCGTTACCTGCACTTCTTGTCATTTTTTACCATTTTGCATCCCTTTAGGAACCAACCTTTTGCCAATCTGGTGACATCCAGATGTGTTGGACTACAACTCCCGTCAACCTCATCTGACAGGGCCATGCTGGCTGTGGCTGATGGGAGTTGTAGTCTGTAACATCTGGAAACAACCAGGTTGGTGAAGGAAGGTTGGTCTTTCTTTGTCCCTCGTCACCCAGGAGGGCTTTGTTCTTTGCACATGCTTCGGTTTTAGCTGCTCTATGCATTGAAAGCACATGGCTTCCCCCAAAGAATCCTGGGCACTGTAGTTTGTTAAGGGTGCCAGGAACTGTAGGTCTGTGAGGTCCCTAGAATTCTTTGAAGTTTATGTAAAGCCTTAAATGTGCTTTAAATGTATGGTGTGAGTGTGGTATTTCTCTTTGGAATTAGTAGGGTAGTGGCTGGATCCAGACTTTAGATGTAATATTATACACGCTGAATAGAAGGTACCGATGAGCTCTTGCATATACACCACCTCCCTTGGTACCTGTGTCTGTTACATGATGAAATAGCCAGAGTTTCTTGGTGAAACAAGGGGCTGGTTAATAAATATAAAATCAGATTTATGTATTTTTTGGGGGGGGTTATAAACAAGAATAATGTTATACAAACAAGTAGACCACGTTTTCTCATGTCATTTGTATATCACAAAAATAGCATAATAAATGTGGAAAAATATCTACAACATATGTTTCATTATTAGTGTTCAATTTTTTTTAAAGGTAGAGGGCTCAGATTGCATAGAAAGTAGGAGGTGACAAAGGCAGAAATGAGAGGGACTGAAAGATGTATATCCATGCAAATGAAAGGAATATCCCAGGAAGGCTCAAGCTACCACTTTCACACTGAGAAAGCCATAAAAGGAAATGCTAATTGGGACAGGTGAGGTGTGAACTGCTCAAGCTAACCTCTGGTATTTTCTTGGACAAATCAGGGCAAAATTGGCCTTGTAAACAGAGGACTGAAAGGACTGGATGTGAATCTGAGCACACGTGAGGAAGATATTGCACCCTTCCTCCAATTAAGCATTTATAAGAGAACAATTACTAAAACACCTATGGCTAAGTTCAGATTTGCCAGGTGAGAGGCAACTGTAACACAAAGTAAGACAATGGATCAAAAAATAAGCTGCTGAACTGGAGGATTCACAGGCATGTTTTTTAAAGTTCCAGGTAGACATCAGTTTTAAAGGTAGGATTCTTCTGCTTCTTTTAAGTCTTAAGAAGGACAATATGGACTGTGTTCCTGCTACCCAGTGGCTCAACCCCCACAAACATCCTCATCAGTGAGCGGGCAGGAACTGTGCCTGTCTGCATGTTGCACACCCCTAACTGCACCCCCCCCAACAAAAGTCCCATCCCATCCAGAAAAATCCTGGCTACTCCCATGAGAGCAGGCGTTCTCCCACCACGCTATTGGGAGTCTGCCGTCTTGGGAGTGGAGTTGGAAAAGGGACAGAGACTGGACTTGCTCCTTGTGAGAATCCAAAGTAATGGTTTTGACCCCCTCCCAGAGCAGCAGGATCTATTCGAGTGGTGAAATGGACTGTTAATAATCCCGTGAGTCTTTCATTTTATGCTCAACCTATAGATCAGTTTTTTAATCTCTTCAGTACTGGGGGAAGAAGGCTACAGAGAAAGAAAATGAAATATTTGATGCATACCACAAATTATTTATTTGATTGCTTTGGGTTTTTTTTTTTATTCCACCCCCACATATTCAGCAGCAATGCAAACATTTATATGATGATGTAAATGTAATGAAGATGGGTTTCCCCCTCTTGTTGCCAGGTTGTTGTTGTTTTTCAAGGGGGGGGGTGTCCTTCCAGTTATGCAGTCTGTCTCACTGTCTTTGTGTCTGTTACTTGGAAATGGCTGTAGGACAGACTTTGGATGTCTGTGTTGACAGATGGATCCTCAGCATTATATAGAGCAGGTTGGTAGTAGACATTTATGTGTGAAGCAAGAAATAATAATTAAAAAAAACAACCCTCCTTGTCAGTATAACAGCCTGCACTGAATCATGGGATTGCTCTGCTTTTCATGTATTTACTAAGAAATGGAAACTGGGTGTGCAGATTTGGTTTGTTTGTTTAAGGCATAAGAAGAATATTATTCTACAGTCCTTCTACACGTGATTCTTCCTTGACTTAGTTGGGCAGCCTTTCCATTGTAGGCCAGCGCTGTTGACCTGCTTCTGTATAGCAGCTAGAGCTGTGTCTGAGTCTTTATCTTTGTTAGGGTTCTTCAAGGCCAGCTGTCCTCAAGTCCGCTGCCAGCCAGCACCGCTCTGCTCTGCTGCCACTGGAGAAGCTGAGGTCAGGGGCAGATTGCCGTCTGGAGGCTAAGGGGTGACGTCAGTGAGTAACTTGCTGGGATGGTTAATCTCCTGCTGGAAGGATAGAGTTTAATAATGAACTTACTAGGGAAACCAGCACACACTTGAGACTGCATACTGCATGCTTTCCTTTGGCGAGCGTGACTGGGACTAGCCAGTAATCAATACCCTCCTTGCCTGCATGCATGATTCCAATATGTGTATTTTATAGATCCAGAACAAGATCTGTTGTACACTTGTGATCTGCAGCAACTGAAAAACCAGCAACTAATTCTGAGGTAGGTGTGCTTCTGCGTAGAGCTAATGATGGGAAATGGGATTTTGTGGTCAGGATTGCCTTCATTTCAGAACTAAGCAAGTAACAGGCTAGATTTCTCTCCGTGTGTGCCGAATTAATCCCTTCCTCAAACATCTGAAGGAGTAAGCCTTGGGAGTGCATCTTCATATTTTTATGTTTGATGTTATATTATGTTTTTATGTGTGTTGGAAGCCGCCCAGGGTGGCTGGGGAGACCCAGCTGGATGGGCAGGGCATAACTAATAAAATTATTATAACTATTATTATTAGATAAGGCATTCCACTTGATACGGAAAGTAACACTAGAAGCTCTTGGATAACAGCAGATTTCTGATACCTCTGTGATTCTAGTCTGGGAAATTCTGTAGATACCGTGTTTTTCGCTCTATAACACGCACCCGACCATAACACACACATAGTTTTTAGAGGAGGAAAACAAGAAAAAAAAATATTCTAAACGAAACAGTGGATGTATGATTTTTGTGGTTCATGCTGTGGCCACAGACATGTGATCTGACGGTGAGTTTGGGGTAGCCCAATGCAAAAATCCTGAGGGTCCATGTGGATCTGTGCTTTGTAACCACGTTTTTGCACCACTGCAGCCCCAGGCAACAGTGGGTGCGTGTTTTTTTGGTGCAAGCTGTAGCCATGGACATGTTATGTCATCTGATGGTGAATTTGGGGTGACCCAGTGCAAAAATCCTGAGGATCCATGTGGATCCGTGCTTTGTAACCACGTTTTAAGTGGGGAGGGAAGGAAAAGCACTCAAGGGACAAGGAACACGCGTGTGGTGGGTGGAGAAGGATGCTGTTAATAATGCAGAAGAGGGGTATAAGAGGAGAAGGCTCCTCTCCTCTCCTGCTTTGCTCCTTTAAAGGCTCTGCTTCTCTCCCTCCTCCCCGGCTCGCTGAAAAACTTTGCTGCTATTAAGCCAGCTGAGTGGGGAGGAGAGAGGGACAGAGAGCCTGCTTGCAAAAAACTTTGCTGCTATTTAGTGAGCTGTTCTCTCCCTCCTCCCCGGCTCACTGGAAAAAACAGCTCTGGACTCGTGTAAGTGGCTCCTCTCCTCTCCCGCTTTACTCCTTTAAAGCAAGCAGGCTCTCTGTCCCTCTCTCCTCCCCACTCAGCGGCTCTTCTCCCGCTTTGCTGTTTCAAAGCAAGCCACGGAGGAGGGAAGGAAGGGGAACCATGGATCCTCTGCTCACGACTGCAGCAGATCCCCCCGCCATCCGTAGGCATTCGTTCCATAACACGCACAGACATTTCCCCTCACTTTCTAGGAGGAAAAAAGTGAGCGTTATGGTGCAAAAAATACGGTATTTGTGAAAACAATCAAAAGCCCACAGATACTGTGGTAGAACAGTAGAGTGCATGCTTTGTACACAGGTTAAATCTCCCATGTCTCCAAGTAAGGCTGGGAATGTTCCCTCGCTAAACACTGGAGAGCTTCTGTGGTCTAACTTGATACATGTAACATAGCTTCCTTTGCTCCCAACATATCAAAACTCGTAGCTGAATCACTTTAAGGAAGGTTTTAGCCAATTTTGGGTAAATGCTATCTAAGTGAAGACTAGCTATGGGACAAATCACAAGGCTTCTTAGGTTGTGCACCGTAAACTGAAATGCACAAATGTGGTGGACCTTTTCTTTCCTGTTTTTCTGCCTCTAGCCACAGAAGTAATTCCTACGAGGGCAATATACAGTCTTTAAAAAATGTGCATGTTTTGGAGGCAAAAGGCCATTCTGTGAGGAAGCTCAGCTAAGGAGGGCAATGGAAGGGTTTTCCAATAAGGGCAGCATGTGAGCGGCAGACCTGCATGTTTCACCCTCCCATTTACAAACCAAGGCTGTTCATGCCTACCGGGAAGTTTAATCAACGCTCCGGACAAAGCCCTCTTTCCCTCTCTCTCAACCTTTCCAGGTTTTTGTTCTAATCATCACATCTACCAGGCTCCTATTGTGCCTGGGTATCTTCTTTTCCAACATCCCACCATCCTTCCAGGGCCCTGTAGTCAGCAGCAATTCTGACTGTAGATGTGATGATGAAGCAGTTTCATTGTAGATGTGATGATGAAGCTCACACATACTTTAACCTCTGGAAGGAAACTCTGTGGCTGGAGATTCCCAGAAGGCAGCATCCCAAGTCCTGATCCGAGAGGCCTTTGGAGCTGCCCGTTTCTTTTCTTTGCTGCCCTCCTGGGAAGGGAAGCCAGGGTCAGTCTGCATGGCATTTGTTACCATCTTGCTGCTCTGTTTGTTGCTGGTGGTGTTTATGTGTTTTGGCTGGCCGGAAGCACCCTGTTAGCATGTCCACTTGTAGGGAGATGAGGCCGTTTTCCTTTCCATCTTTCACCCAGAAGGGGAATAATTCCGAGAAGCTATTAAGATAGAGAGGAGCCTTTGGAGAGCTCTGTTGTATAACAAAGCCAAGAGCAACTTCGCAGCGGCCCTTTCAAATGCCTGTTAAATGTGACACCACAATGTCAGCAGCAGCGAAACCTGCCAGTTAACTTGCGCCTCTTCCCTCCTCTCCGCCTTCCGAGGAGACTTGTAAAAAAAAGAGGCGGGGAAGTGTTGTTGCTGTTTTCTGCCTCCTTTCTACAGTAAAACTCTCACCTTTTGACAGATTTACACAACTCCAATGTGTCTCTTTGGCGAGCCACCCCCTCCATCCCAGACTCAACGGTGTCATTTCTATCTGGATGTGTTGCTTAGGGTGGATGTTTGATTTGATATATTTTTTTAATTTTTAACCATTTAGGAGAGCTATGCCTTTTCTTCTCCTAGGCTTGATCTGGGACTTGCCTCGGGGGAAAGAAGAAAAATCCAGCTCTCTCTCTCGCTCACTGACTCCGTTTTCCAACTGAACGCCCCGTTTCCAAGGGAAGGAGCCTTAGCTGCGACGGAAACTTTGCTGTTGGAAGAAAACAAAAAACCCCTCTCTTAACCTTTCGCATCCGCTGGAAAGCCAGAGCCGAGCTGTCTGCAAAAATAGATAGATAAACAAATAAATAAATTTCTACTGCGCTGTCGGTGCACAACCTGCTTTTCCTTATTTATTTATTTATTTTTGTTAATTTTGCATTTGCCTTCACGTGTGTGCATACTTTTTTTTTTAAAAATGTACAGCTGAAACGGCTTTCCTTGGCTGAACTTTGCTGATCAATGGTCCTCTTATACCCTTTTATTTAAACAAACTGTGCTAGGAAAAGAGAGAGAGAGAGAAACTTTCCTTCCTTCCCTCTCGCCTTTGCACGCTGGCAGCGGAAAGTGAGCGGCGGCAGCAGCAGCAGCAGCAGCAGCTCTCCTCCTCGAGCGAGCGCGGAAGGCGCTGCACTTCTCCTTCACCGCCGTTCTTGTCGTCGCCGCCGCCGCCGCCGCCGCGCGCGCTTCCCTTCTGCCCGCGCCCGGATGCCGGCGACCCCTGGACGGAGCATGGCTTCGCTCTGATCGCCGCCGCCGCTGCCCTCCGCCTGCCCCGCCAAACCCTGCTATGCCTCGCTTCTCCGGGCAGACAGCAGCCCTATGGCGAGGGAGGCGCCCCGGGCAGGCGCGCGTGGTGTTTCCCTAAGGCCGTCGAGGGAGCCGAGCAGCAGCAGCAGCAGCCCGGATCCTGACCCGGATTGTATGAATAAGTAAGCAGGAGGCTGGCGGCCAGGACGAGAATTAAGAGGAGTGGAGGGAAGAGGAGGAGTGGGGTAGGGGTGGGGGTGGAGGGAAGCCCAGAGAACAACAAAAAAAAGAAGAGGGGGGGGAGAGAAGCCTTGGCACTTTTCCTGGCTCCCTCCAGTGCAAGCGCTTTGCCATCACTGCAGGGCTACGGTGGTGGGAACAGACTTGTGACCCCCCCCCCGGTCTCTCTTCTTCTTCCCTCTTTCTTTTCTCGGCAGCTCGCCGATGTGCAGCCCGACTCCGCCGCCCAGTAGCAGGCGAGCAGGGAGCAGCGACGGGATCCGGAGCGGCGCGAGGCGATCGGCGGACCGGAGGATCCCCCGCGCTTGCCTCCGCCGCTGGACAGCCCAGGCGACGAGAGTCCCCGCGCGCAGCCCCGCGACGCCGCCGCTGCTGCTGTCGCTGCTGTGGCGGGAGAATTTGCAAGAGCAGCGGCGGAGGCGGCGGCAGAAGCAGCGAGGAGGAGAAGGGGAACCCGGGAAAGTTTGCTTGGCCTTTGACAGAGGCGAGGAGGGCAGTCAGACGTGGTGAGAGGAGCGGGCGAGCGAGCGCCTCTCCGCCAGGCTCGGCGGAACAGAGAAGCCTTTCCCCGCGCGCGCGCGTTTTCCTTCGCGAGTGGGGAAGCGCCAGGTCCGGATCGGACACCCCCAGAGAGGAGCGCGGACGGCCAAGCGAGCCCAACACACAAACACACACACACCACTCTCTCACACACAAATACACGCGCACGCGCGCCCCCCTCTCCTCCTGACACTCGGCGGCGCCTTGGCTCTCTCTCTCCCCGTCTGGGCTGGGGAGGAGCGTGACCATGCTGGCTTGGAGGGTGGCTCTGTGGCTGGCCGGCGTGACCCTGTGCGGCAAGCTCGCCCGCGGCTCCGGGATCGACTACGACGACTACGCGTACGAGCTCGACGGAGGGGACGAGGCGGAAGCGATCGATTATAAGGATCCCTGCAAAGCCGGTGAGTTCAGGGGACCTAGTTGGGCTCGCCGCCCAGACCCCGGTGCTTTCCCGTGCGCTCTTTCCCAAAGTAGGGGCTGTTTGGTTTCCCTTGCCTGGGGGGCTGTGTCTGTGTGCGTGTCTGTATGGAGGGGGAGAGAGGAGGGGAACGGGATCAGCTCACCTGCTTCCTCCTCCTCCTCCGGATCGGCGAGGGACACTCCAAACAGGCATGGCCAAGAGGAAGCGTGAGAAGCCGGGGCAGGCGCAGTGGGGCTCGCGCTAGTCTTCCTTTTTTGCAATAATGCCGCTGGGGGCAGATTTCGAAGAACCTGCTTTCCTCGGGCTTGCGAGCCTGTGTCCCCAAGAGTGCACACACTTTTCCTTTGCAGCTGTGCCTGGAAGACAAACGTGCTTTCCAGGCACAGCAACCACAACGGAGAGAAATCTGGAGTTTGTTTCCCGTGCCCCTTGATGACGGCAGGAATCCCAACTTTCTCCGGGACGATTTCATCCTCTCTCTCTGTGTGTCTTTCCCCAAATCCCCGTCTCTCCACATTGAGGCGCTAGTCAAAACAGGTTTCTTCTGCTTGGGGCTACAGAGGAGAGAGAGGATGGGGGAGAGGGGGCTGGCAGGGAGCAGAGCAGTCCTATGGCCCTTTCAAGATTTTTAATTCTGGAATGAGAAGGTCAAGGTTGTCTGGAAATCACTCTTCCACCCCCTGCCCCCACTTCATCTCCTAGCTTTGCAGCACAGCAGCAGTTTAATGGGCAGGGTAAGGTAATCTATGAACACATTTCTATTTGGATTGGATCCTGCCTGAACCATGCTCAGAGCAGACCCTCTGAAATTAAAGGGATTTAAGCTAGTCATTATTATTAATACAAATCTCATTGATTTCAATGGGTTTGCCAACTCAAATCCTCTTGATTTCAGTGGGTCTAAGCTTAGCTAAGTCTGGATCCAACCCTTTGTTAGTACATCTCATGCGCCAAGATTGAGAACTTGCATTGAAATGGGTCCTGGGGAGTCAGACTCAGTGAACCCTGACTCAGACTGACATACAGCCAGGAAGGGGGGGGAGCTGGACTAGATGACACATGGGGTCCCTTCCAACTATACATGATAGGCATTGGTGGGCTCCTCCTGCCACCAACTGCAGAATGGCCAATGGTCAGGAATGACAGAAGCTGGAGAGCCACACAGGTTCTCCATCCCTTATGTAGAGGCTGCTACTCATGTTGAATCAATACTTGCTTGGCGAGGGATAGAATCAACTCAGCTGATCTGAGAATTAAATCGTTTCCACTATAGTACATAATCCAAGAGCTCCACAATATGCAGCTGTCTTGCCTATGCATCTTTACTCAAAACAAACTCCTACTGAAGTCCGTAACTTCCAGGCAGAGCTTTAGATAGTTTTCCACTTGCACCGCTAAACCTAACAAGTGTCCCATGTTCTCTCTGTGTGAACATTTGTTAACTTCTTGGTTATAGAATGCAGGAAATAGAGTTGATTGTTCATAATCTTTCCCATGTGGTTTTTGCATTCATACTATATAGACAAAATGTAATCCTGGTGTGAACAAAGATAGATTGTAAACATGGCTCTGTCCCGAGCTCTCCTTCCTTTATTTACAGCACAAGGCGATCTTTGGATCACCTATGGTAGACACTTCTTCTGAGGGTAGAAAACCCATTCTCTGGCAGGCTTTGCTGAGTCAGTGATTTTCTTAATGGGAATGAGAGAGGGGTGGGATTGCTGGCCCGTAATCACCCTCTGGAACCGGCAGGTTTATGGCTCCAGCGAAAATGCATGGAGAGAGAGAGAAATGCAGTTCAGTAGCTGGAGTCTTTGTGTGCTTTTCACTTAGGAAGCGGTAGCAACAGTAGCAGCAGCAGCAGCAGCAGATTCGGTCTTCAGCTTCCCTTTTAGTGCACTGGAGATGGGAGGGTCCTGCCCTTGCAATCAGAGATGGGGGAAAAGTGCCCTTGATGTCAGGGATGGGGAACGTGTGACTTTCCAGATGCTGCTCCCATCAACACTGGCCACTGGGCATGCTGGCTCTGGCTGATGGGATATATTCACGGTTCCCCATCCCTGCTCTAGGTAAGCCCTTCTTTTGCGTTAAGGAAGAATCCCTGCAAACTATGTCCATTCTGCATGGGAAGTGGCTTTCCCATGGCAATATCTTACTCCTCCAGACTTTATCATCTCCAGCTGCAAAACAGATAGGAGCTTTCCAGTGCAGTGGAGTTTGGGATCAAGTCCAAGGTGCCAATTCAGTTATAGCATAATTCCTCCACAGAGGAAAACACTTAAGAGGCATACATGTGGAAGGCATTATAGTGGAAGACAAAATGCAGGTGGATCTTGGGGGAAATACTCAGGAGCAGTAACCAGAAAGACTCAAGTCTCCTGTTCATGTATTATTGCTATGTATTCACTGGATCCCCGCCCCCACAACACACACACATTCCACATACAGTGGTACCTTGGTTTACAACCATAATCCGTTCCAGAGGTCCGTTTGTAAACCAAAACAGGTTGTAAGCCAAGGCACGCTTTCGCCAATGGGGCCTCAAAAAAAAAAAAATTGTTCGTAATCCAAAAAAATTGGGTTGTAATCCAAAAAAAGTTTGCAAACCAGGACACGCACTTCTGGGTTTGACGTGTTTGTAATCCAGAACGTATGCAAACCAGACTGTTTGTAAACCAAGGTACCACTGTATCACTGTATGAAAAGTGTTACATCAGAGTTGATACCACAAAAATATTTTTTCACAGCAGAAGCCTGTGGAGGTTTACTCTTAAGTAAGTCCTGCTGAATTCAGTTTCCCCAGAGAAAGTGTGCATAGGTTTGCAGCCTGAATCAGACATTTCACTGAACAGTCACTGAATGGCAGATCTAAAGAGATTAAGGGCACTCTGGATTAGGAAACATGGCAAATTTTGCCTTTCAAATCATGGAACAAGTTTTTTTGAGTCTCCTAAAGTCACCTTGACTGACAGTTAATTTTTGATCCAGGCAAATCAGCAGCAGTGGGTAGAATCAGAACTATGCCACTGGACTTTAGGAAAGCAGTTTTTTTAAAAAATAATCAAAACTGTTTTTTAAAAGGATTTTTTTTTAAAAAAAACCCTGCAAAAAGCAAAATAAAAAATAAAAATGTATGCTGTAAAAGTTTCTACCAAGGCTGTTCAATAAATAATCAATGACATAGCAACTTAAGTGTCACTGATTGGAATACGAAAGAGGAAAGATCAATTCAGGGCAGATGATTTTACCACCTTTGGACAAGCAAAGTGGATCAGATTCCAACGTATGGGCGGCGGTGATGCTCATTCCTCCAACCAAGCTTTTGAATATTTCTCATTTGGGCCAGAAACCAAATATTCAAATGCTTGGCTGGAGTGCATGGAAGAGCCTTTTGCCTCCCACGTGAATTGCTTCCATGCTTAAGGTGAAAACCCTGGATCTATCCAATTGTCTCGCCTTGAGGCAAGGAACTCTAAACTGAATTGCATCTAAGAGAGGCTTGCCTCACATGTTGGATGAACATGTAAGGCCACGCCCACTAGCCCTGCCCCTGGCTTCTGCTCAATGAACAACGGCAGGGAGGCCAATTTTGCATGCGTAGATTGCAGACATGAAGGATCGTCCCTTCAGACTCTCCGTCTGTACATGGGGATGCCAGGAGGCAGAGCTAATTGGTGCTGATGGGACTGGTCAGTGCAGCCCTGCTCAAGTGCAGATCTAGTGTGCGAGAGAGACTTCTGCAAAGGGCAATATCAGTCTGTGGTTCCTTCAGAAAGCTTTTAGTAGTAGTAATTGTATGCTGTATGCTCTAGGGGTAGGTAGGAAATCTTAGCAAAGTTTGCTTCCACCTTGTGAATAGTGCTTTATATTATTAATTCTGGTGCTTGGTTTGTTGTGGTCAACAGTTAGGATGAAATTGAATGTGCCTTAGGATAACCTCAAATTCAGTTTTTATTACAGATTAGTTAATATGTCAAAGTTCTCAATAAATGGAAGATCTGCTTTTCCAGATTTCCATGAAACATCAGCTTGATCGTGTGAGATGCATGTTAGATTTAAAGACTATTTAAGTGGCTTGAGTGAGTTCATATTGGATCCATTGGATCCCACTCAGTGACTTTCCTGGCATTGAGGTTATGGTTTTTGAGTCATGGCTTTTGAGCTCAAAATGACATATTTTTGCAGTGTGTGTATATGCCAAATTCATTTTGAAAGAGTATTATAAACAACATTGGTCCATGTGCTGCAGCTGGAGAGTAAAACAAGTGCTTGAGCTTTGTGGTCACTTCTTTTGCATTACTTACTTTGTTCCATGAGACTTAGTTCAGCCAAAGTTAGTATTCCTTTTGGCCACAATCCTCAATTATTTATTCTTTTCACAAAGAATGGGATCAAGTGGTTTGAGGTTGGAGGAGTGATGGGTGCACTCCAGAGTAAGCGATTTGAGTAATGGCTGTGTTACTTGGTTGCTTTTAGTCATAATTATTGAGGAGTATGTGTTGACAGTGCCAGATATGCTCTCTATCGCATTATTCCTTTTCTAATCGTA